TTTGAAAATGGTTCCCTGGTGAGAAGGCACTGTCCCGTAGCTCCTGAAAATGTAGTAAAATTAAATTTAAGATATAAACAAAAAGGTAACATAACTCACTAAAAAAATAAGTTACAGTTTACAAATAAGAGTAGAAGATATCAATTACTAGATATATCTAGTAGGTTTGCTAACTTCATAGATTTTACAGATTGATCTCTCGTTCAATAGCAATATTGCCGTGGATGATAGAATACATTTTACTAACACCTTATGCATTTGTGATACCTCTATGATCAAAGCATAGAGCCGAGGCGTGCAAATCTTATAAAATATAGTTAATGTAATGTTAACGAGATCTCGGTTATGTAAAGCTGTAACATTTTGCATTTAATAAGGGCCGTACATAGCGGAGCCTCGTGGCCGTCGGCAAGAGATGGATTCAGAGATACTAAGGCACTTCGATCGGGGCTCGTTCACTATGAAATTATTGGGAAACTCGATTCGTGCTCGATGCATCTGCTTGTGAAGAAGGCGCGCGCCTTGCTAATGTTCTTTGCAAGCGATCCGAGAAAGCCGAGTAAGTTTTAAAGATAAATCTTTGAGATATGAAGAAGACTTTCCTACTTCTCAGTTGCACATAGTTAGGGACTTATGCAGTGATATTTATTGAAATTTAAAAAAATTGTTGGTGTTCAAATATTTTTTAAGTGCAAAATGTGTTTTTTAAATGAGTACCTACACGGTGTCCATAAATTAATAAAACAGTATTGTAACATTTGGTCGGACACGTAAGTGTGTATGCCCGCGGGTGGGGCGTTTCCCGGCACCTGTACAGTTCGTTTAAATATTCCTCCCAAATCGATATTTCATGTGATCGCGGCTTATCTGTAATTAACGCTTGGCTTAGAGTCCGTTTCTCGATTGACTACGCCAAGGCGCTATTATCGTCACTTTTTTATCCGATTGCGTCCTCTTTTTCAAGCATCAACTGGAACTACGTAAATTTTTGGGTGGTAGTGTCAATCATATTACGGCCAGAGTAACACTGAGTGGATTCTGGTCTTTAAACAAAGTAGTATAACACAAATTTCTAACTACAATTCCCTGTGTATCTTGGTGACTCTACTCAGTCATTCCAAAAGAAAACTGTGTTACTCTAACACTATTTTTTAAGCTTGGTCTTCCAAAAGGTACTTAACACGATACTTTTTTGGCCTTCTCCAGGCAAAGAAGTCAATCACCTTTACAAATGTTTCTAATAAAACTACACAGAACAACTTGGTAAGTTTTAATTCAATAACTATGTCTTGTAAATGATTGAACAGCTGTAATTGTATCTTATAACTAACTGAATTAAAACTAGGTCGATTTCAACCTGACAACTATAAAACATATCTAATTAAATATGAAGAATTATATACGAGTACGAGTATATTATATATACGAGTATATTAAACAAACTCATTATTAGTATATTAAACAAACACAATTCATCAAACAATTATAGTCTTAGGTGAAAATTGAATCCACGAGCTCTAGCTAAGCAGTCAGTCACTAACCACTAAGCTAACAGGCCATATGATGTGATAATATTATATATGATTGATAATATTTTTTCTGCAGAAATAAAATAGTTGCCTTACATAGTTCACTGTAATTAATAACTTTTAATTAGCACTGATCACTATTTAAATTGTCAATGACCACTTCAATTCCATTCAATATACATTAACCAAAATTCTTAAATAGAAAACTGAAGAATCGATATCGTTTAGCCAATGCCTCAGAATTTCTTTATATAGTTCTATAACTTTACAAATGGCAGACTCAAGTCGCATACAATAAACATGCTCATAAATAAATAAATAAGGCCGAATTTAATAACCAGCCTGTACCTAAGTAATGACCGCCAGAAGGCACCACTATATATATTGTGCCCCACCATTTTATAACTTTTACGCACATTTCTTAGCGATGTATTAAAACGTTTGAACACTATAATTTGGGAACGAGGGCTTAACAACTTTTTTTAGACGAAACAAATATTTGGGGTGTTTGGTTCGAGTATGTTGATCGATAACAGCTTGTTTCTAAGTAAATATAACTTATCTAATATAAGAGGTTATTGATCTCTTACTTAAATGTAGAAAAATATACTCATAGGAAGATTGTTATTATTTTTATTTTGTTTTGTTGCATAGAGGAAAAACTAGCTGACGGGTCACCTGATTTTGTGACTACCGCCGTGGACGCCTACAACTCAGGAGTCACAAGTGCGTTGCCGCCTTTTAAATTTGGGGAGGCGGAGTGTTGTGCTTCGGTAAAATCACTCATTCGATGCATCGAAAGTTTAGCTTACCCCAGATTTCTGTGAGGCGTACACGAAGTTTGTCCGGTCAATGGAACTGTAGGCTGCACCGGTGCAAGCGGAGGCTCTGCCCGCCCAGGATAGAGCTCGACCCTAGCGTCCTTAAAGGGTGCTGGCGGTTAGAGCCTTACGCGGTTAGCGCACGGTTTCCTCAGAGGCGGCGTGCGCGTTGGCCGGAATTCCTCTGTGAGATTCAGGAAGGCGTCTCTACCAGCACCTCATGCCACCCACACGCCGCGAGTTTGGCCGCGAGTAGACGGGTTTATCTATGTAGTATGAAATTAGTGGTATGACATTTACATAAATATCGATGGTACAAAAATACCTTTACAACATAATCATATTAAAAAAATAACATTAAAACATCGATTCGACAAATTACCTATTCACAAATACAAATCGATAAAATTACAACACATTGTTGGGTTATGCGTGTCCTGCCATATTAGTTGGTTGTGCTATAGAAAAACGAAGAATGCTGTGCCATTGGTCGGCAAGTGCCATATTCGACACGGCTGGTGACGAATCCTGGCCAAAACAAAAATATATCAAGCATTCTGATGAAAACAATTTAACTTCTTGTACATGTCAAAGTCTTTAAAGAGAATTTTAATGCACCACTCGTTTGAAATGCTGTCTTTACACTGCGAAATATGTTGTTGGATAAACGAAAAAGCAGAAGACGACTAAGAATTAACAATTTAAAAAGCACAAGAAAAACTATGTGTCATAAGAGTAGCAATTGACTGAGATTTTTAAATGGCACGACATCATATTTAATTGCTAAGGCTTCAGATCGTGTTATTATTTGAAGCATGTGTGTAAGTAATAATGTGTTTTTGACTTTCTAAAATATGTTACTTAGTCAATGATATTGTGTCTTTGAAATGTCTTGTTGTAAACGCGCTGTTTGAAACTTTGAATGTGTTGAAGTTTCGATCAGATTGCAAGGCCTTGGTTAAAAGCTGACTGTCTAACCTGGTAAAACATTAGAGAATAACTAAGTGGTTAAAGGCATGTATGCAGACACATCTCACAAAGGTACACGTACCATCAAATGTATCAAGTTTTTTATATTATTTAAAATTTGTAATAGTTGAGATCATTTTCCTAACATAATAATCCTATTTATTTAAAATATATAGCTATTTACGTTTGGAAGTAATAGAATCGTCCATCAGTAGGTTAATATTTAAGTTACTTTTGATTTTACGAATTCTCGACAAGTTTTTTTTGACGTATCTATAGTATTGTGTTGTTTAGTGGACACCAGAAGCTTTATAATTTTCTATGTAGTGATTACCGAATCTTTCAATATAAGTTTACAAGAATGTAAATAAGTTTATGGAGTTAATTATGGTGTAATGTTATTACATCTTTAATTATATTAGTACCGTTAAATTCTTTGAAAACTACAAAGGATCGAAGGCACGAGAGCCCATGTACGACATACAAAAACTAGATGATACACACTACATTCTTCAGATCTTAGCAATTTAAGCTTGCAGTTATTAGTTCAAACTTAGCAATTCAAAGCACGGAGATTAATCAAGGCGACTGAAGGCTTACAATAGACTGATTGACTAATCACATCGTTTGCCTATTAATATTTCTTACAATTATCTAGAGGTAGAGGACAGACAATTTACTTAAAGAAACGAGTTATAAGTAAAACCAAAAATTGTAGGAACAAAAAGAATGTGGTGGAAATGATATTTAATTAAAGTGTTTTTAGAAGCAACTAGTTGATCAACGTGAACGTTTTCTATTCCCACACAGCCATAGTCAGTATTGTAATCACTCTCCTATCTAACATGCTTTATTACCGTATCCAGACGCGTTCAAGTGTAAGAAATGCGGTGTGCCGTAAATTAAGCCATCGACAGTCTCGCGATCGCGCTAGGATGCCATCACGAGCTCGGCTGGATAGTTTGCGATTGCGCTGCGTTTTTCAAAGGCATACCTGGCGCGGGTGCGTACGTCGCATGTGACGACTTTATCCGTCGAGGGCACGTCTTTGGTGTGCGGACGCCGCGATCTAGATCAACGGCGCCGGCAACTCGGCGGTACGATGGTATCGTAAAACGCTCGCGACAATTGCTAACACCGGCGCCGTACAACAACGCAAATTATTCAAGCCGATGAGGCATCCCTGTGTGTCGCCGACTGACCCGCTGCCCATTGTTGACATACCGATTTCTGAGAACGCATTATTTAACGCTTCAGTTGTGCACGCAGTTTATTCGTGTGTCCTTGTGAACCACTGTTCTTTGATTTATTGATCAGCAGTTATTTTTCTACATTTAACTCGAGAAAAACACTAACACCGGTAAACAATTGATCAATTGGAGATTTGGAAACTATTAAGCAAAATCATATGAGTTCATTGATATATAAATTTCGAAAAAATATTTTGACTAATTTGTTTTAAGCTAATTTTTTTTTAGAGTTGAAGTGTAATAAACATTTGTGTTTAATACGAGTTTCAATGGCTAACTGTATTTTGCGGTAAGATAGTAGGATAGTAGGTATATATCTAATTTTGGAAATCGCTAGCAAAACTCTCATATTCAAGTCTCAATGCCCGACGTCCTAACATGGTGCGCTTATATCCAACAGGTAAATTTGATAAACCTTATTAAGGTTATTCATGGAACAAGTCGTAAAAATGCCAACAACAACGTCTATGCAAGATAAAGCTCGGCCGCTTGTAACGACTCACGCACGGACCATTGCGGGAAACGTTGGACCTGAAACAGACGTGGAGACACGCAGTCAAACTCAACTAGATGCCCAAGATGCTGTCGAAAGTTCTGTGAAGTTCTATTCTAGGAAAGAAGCCTTTGAAAGGGGAGGTGGGGTTGTGTGGGGCACGAGGAAGGCGGGATGCCGTCACGTGCGAGTGGGCATCAGATAGCGCGACGCCGCCGTTGCCGCAGGGAATGTTGCACGTTCGCGGACAAGCTCTGACACGCAAATACTGTACTGACTGCTCAGATCTTTTACTTGCGAAATTGTAATACCTAGTTTTAGATCTAGGAACTGTGTGAAGTATGGCGGTACGACTGTAAAGGAATTTAGAAAAGTTTACTCTTGATCACGTCTGAGAGAGAGCAGATACGTTTATACCTATTATAAATAAGGTTTTGTTCAAAAACTCAGTAAGGTTCTATATTTGTAAACTTTAATGAACGTAAGACTATTTTGGAGTAAATACTAGTTATTATAATATAAATTAAGACCGTCGCGTCTTTCCGGTTTGAGTTAAGGCACAGCAGAGTTTTTTTGCCAAAGAATTGCTATCGACCTAATCCATAATCCGTAATTATCTATATCAAGCAAACTTATTGGAGTCAGAATTCAGTTCGTGATACAGCACGCACGTGAGAAGGTTCTGTGTCTGGAAGCCTCTGGAACCTGTATCTTTTTTATGTATTTTATTCCTAGCATATAAAATAATTATTTTATATTTAAATGCATTTCAAATGTAATTTATATGTGTACTCGTATATAAATAAGTAGGTAATTTGTGATGTTGAAAAAAAATGACTAAAATTAAGTACAAATAGGAATTATACATATTATACTGCACCTCGACTTACATTAACAAACTTTAACCTCCATGTTGGTCTACTATAATTAAGTTTAAAAAAAGTTTCATCTACCCCTGAAATCTTGCAAAACCATCGTGGGGTTGACATTTTTTCTTAAGTTTGATTGGCATTAATTGGGAATACCCTAAAAAAAAAGAATTTTCATTTTTTACTTTACAATTACTTTTTAACGATAAACATTCAGCACAGCGTTGACATACTCAGGACATTGTGGACATATTCACAGACCGCCGGGCGCGACCGCGAAACGATCCTGCTTTTTTCTGTCTCCGCCGGACATATTTAATGCAACGTTAATATTTTAAGAAATAGATTTTATGTTAGATTTTTTCCTTAGGCCTTGGGTATCTCCTTGAAAAAATGAAACAACATTGATATGTAATATCTACTAATATTTTGGGAGCTATTTAAATTACAGTGCATATTGACGAATAATTAATAAGGACAGCATGCACCCCGTGCTGTAGACACACTTTAGATACTTATTCTTCTTTTTTCTTTAACCTGATAACCTGCCGAATGTAGACCGCATAAAACTAATCTTTTTGTAATTCGTCGAATTTTGTAAGTGTCCAGCAGTAGACACTTCCATTTCAAATTTAGAAAACTACATTCGAATTATCTTATAGCACAGGATATCCTATATACTTATAGCACAGGATATCCTATTTTAAGTACCAGCAGAACACTAGAATTAAGATTTTTTGTACCTCTTTTGAGAATTCTACTACTATGTACCTACTTGTATATTGTGCCAATAAAGAAATAAAGAAATCTATCCTTTAACAAACCACATAAAATTTAGTTATGTTTGCTACAAAAAAATCGACAGTGCTTTTTGTTTAAATAGGCCTATAATCAGCATTCGATGTCCAGTTGTTGATATAATGACGATGAAAAGAATAATTAACTATTATGGTTTAAATAAAGGAGGTATAACAAAGTGAATTTCTGCTCTAACAGCCATGGAAAAGTCTGCGATAATCTTAACATTCCAATAAAATTTCTTTGAACAATTTTTCTGTCAATTAATATATAAATAATATTTCCCTTTAAGTTTGTTCCCTTGACTACAAACATACAAACAAAGATTACAAAATTCTGATGCCTATGACCAATTCGAAGATAACGTGGAGAAAGCTATCCCAAAATATCAAACATAGTAACTATAACCCTTTTTTTTTTTTTTTTTTTTAACGTGTGGAATTCCCCTCGGTCCGTCACCCCACCGGGGTTTGCGGCGGGGTGGTGTATCGGACCCGAACCGACTAAAACCACACGGTGTGCCCTCTTTGCGCTTCCAGTTTAGGAGGGGTCCAGGTAGTTATCGCCTTCTGGACACTATAACCCTGGCCTAACTCACCCGTAACTTAGACAATGGGTGTGGTTAATAAAAAGTTTCGCTCTCCAAGTCATTTGAAATAGGGGCTAGAACCTGTCGACAATCGATTAACTGTCACTTCACCTGTAAACACTCTCATAATAATTGACTGACTTGTTGTCTACTAGTGGTGAGTAATCCTTACTGCTAAGCCAGAGGTCGTGGGTTTGAATCCCACCCAGAACAAATATTTGTGTGATAAGCACGATCATTTGTTCTGTGTCTGTGTGTTATTTATCTATTTTATGTATGTATTTAGAAATATATATGTATGTTTATCAGCAGCCTGGTTACCATAGTACAGACTCTGCCTAGTTTGACCAGATGGCCGTGTGTGAGATAATAATAATAATAAGCCTTTATTAATTCCACGTCAAAGTATTTTGCAATTCAAATGTTTGTGAGATGTGTTAGCATATTAAATTTTATTCTTCAATCTAGTGTTAGTATTGTTAGTTTCTTCATCTTTCTTTGACGTGGATCCCGTTTGGGTGAAGGCCTCCTCTTTCTCCTTCCAGAATCCTCTATCCTTGGCGAGGGACATCCAATCTCGCCCTGCTGTTTTTCTACTATCATTAGCCCACCTTTTTGCTGGTCTACCGACTTTTCTCTTTCCTGGTGATCCTTTCCAAGATGTTGTTTTTATGGTCCATCTGTTTTCTTTGTACCTCGAAATGTGACCGGCCTAAAGCCATTTCAGTTTTAATGCCTGTGTAGCAGCTGTAATTTTTGTTATCTGTCTGATGATTTCTGACCTTATTTTATGTAATTTTCTAATTTTCAGTGTACTCCATTGATCTTTGTGTTGTTCCATTCTTTTTCTTTCACTTTATTTGTGTATACCCATGTCTGACAGCCGTACAATAAGCTAGGCAGAAGACATGTATCAATTACAGTTTTTTTCATGTCTGATGTATAGATCCTTTTAAAATTTCCTTAAGAGACCAGAATTTGTTCCAAGTTATTTTGCATCTCCTTTCAACTTCTTTTTCATTACTTGTTGTACTGAAAGAGACCTGTTTGCCTAGATATACGTAATTGTCCACGTATTCTATGTTGTTGCCATTTTTTGTACCATAGGATGTTTGGGGCTATTCGTGATTAATTTTGTTTTGGCATCATTCATCTCTAGTCCAACTCTAGCACTTTCCTGTTCCAGCATGTGTATCATTTATAAAGTTCTCTAGATGATTCAGAAAGTAAAACGATGTCGTCTGCGAATCTCAAAGGGCTGAGGCAAATGCCACCCAAACTCAGTCCCTTGGTTTTCCAATCCAGTTTTTGAAAAACACTCTCTAGGACAGCAATGAATAGTTTAGGTGACAGGGGTCGCCTTGTCTTACTCCCCTTTCAATTCTTATTTTATCTCCTCTGGTTTCGAGTTTCACATAACTTGTAGCGTTGTTATATGTATATTTTATGATGTTTAAATATTTTCAGTTAATATTCAATGAAAGTAAAGTATTCTAAATGGAGTTGTGGCTTATAGAGTCAAAAGCTTTACTATAATCTATAAAAGCTATGTATAGAATAGAATAGTATGTGAGATGCATGAGGTTATTAAATACACCGACCATCGTCAATCGTCGATTACCTGATGTTAAGTAACTGCCGCCGTCCATTGTCACCTGCAATTCTAGAGCCACAAGTGCGTTGCCGCCCTTTGAGTCCGTAACTTTGGGCTCCGGTGACCTCACTCACTCGATAAAAAGCTACGAAAGAATGTTTTAACACCGGTTTTATATACAGCCGTGGTATCAGGCCGACTCCAGACGAGCCGTGCTTTAGGTGTATGCTAAAGCAGGCTCTCCCACGGATTAATGAGCACCACGAAACATATATATTTTCATGATAGGGGGTGGAAAATAACAGAAACGCTGTTTTTATTGCTGCTAGTCAATCCATACTAATATTATAAATGCGAAAGTGTGTTTGTCTAAAAAGCGTAGGACGGTTTTTTTCCTAAAAATCATCCTTTAAGGGGGTGAAAAGGGGGTGGAAGTTTGTATTGGTAATCAATAAACGCTTAACATATAGGCTATATATACATACATACACTCGGGCGTTGCCGCGGCCGAAAGCTAGTAGTGAAAATTTATTTAACTGTCATAATACTCAAACGAAATATCATAAAAATATAACCATGTCACTCTTTCGAATTAATCTGAGACGTCATTGTACATTAGTTATGCTGTGACATAACATCCAAGAGAATATTTAGACAACTCAACAAAACGTTCATTTACATAGTACTTTAGTTACTAAACACAAGTAGTGGGTACTATTTGTGTTTAGTAACTCCTGCAAAACGAACTCTATAAGATTGCTATATATTAGTTTTTTCTATAAATAAATATACACCGAGGCACCGAAGACAATACTACCCCATCATAACATTTTTCATTCTTTACACAAACCTTTATAACATAAACCTCGCAAGCTCAACCTGTCATCCCAAAACAGTCCAGTGGCGGAGAGCCTCAATATGAATAAATTGCATAAATATTTATCGGCGCGGTTTATGCCATCGGCGGCGTCTACAAGGGACACACACAACACAAAACGATACCTTAGAATAATGTAATTGTTTTTGCAGATTGCTCCGGAATGTTATCAGGTTGGCGAACACCGTTAGTGCCATTTTTGAGACGTATCGATTCATATCTCGTTAAGTTTTAGATGGACGACTTTTAAAACATTTTGTTTCTTGCGAGACTGGGTTGAATATTTGCTGCACATAACGTACGAGTATGTGAACGGAATTTTAATGGCGATAAAATTTATTCTAAATTTAAAAATTATTAGTTATCGTATAATCTATTCTAAAAAAATACTTAAGGATCGAATTCATATTACTTAGTTTCAACTACTTTAAGTATATTGTATGTGAAGTAATGTAACACTTTTTTTTTATATCTTTCA